TAAAGGCTCTTAATTGTGCTCGGTCTGATTTGGAGTTACTAGCTCTCCAGCGTCGCCGCTCTAGGCATCTCTTTTGGCGCTTCATCTCCCGGAGTTCCTCGGTAAACCAAGGAGCCCTCCTGGATCCACTGCCACAAAGAGGCCGTAAAGGCGCAATCCGGTTTAGAGTCTCTGCCGCCGCTATATTCCAAGCAGCGACCAAGGACTCTGCCGGACTGTGGGCTAGTAAAGTAAAATCTTTACTGTCCAGTATTTATCCTTTTAATCTAATGACATCTAGTTTAGATTCCAAAATATCTTCCAATGTATTTGAAAATAGTAATTTCTGGACAGGCTCTCAGATCTGAAAAGAGAAAAAGGAAAAGGAATCAAGCCAATGTATTTCCCATTTAGAGACACAAAACAATGTAAAAACTGAATGGGTCAGATCTTGGATATTCCATCACATATTCAGAGAGAGAGTTCAAGATTGGGGTATCATCATTTCACCATTCTCAAGAAAATAAGCATATTAGTGTAGGGTATACATACCTTGAAAGCCAAATGCCAGTTCATCAGCTACCTAGGAAATCAGACACAGATTAATTTTTTTACTTCTAACTATTGCACAAAATTGACTCTTCACCTGCATTATTTCTTCCACATGTGGTTGAACTGTGGCCACCAGCAAATTTATAATAGCTATATAAAACTTCATTATTTTGCTAAAAACAAGGAGAAATCCTGTTTGAAAAGCCATCGGGCTTTAATAGCCTCTACTGTTAATTAGAAATATGTCAAGATGTTTATTTTTATCCAAATATCATATATTTTAAGTTCCTGTGAAACTGAAGCTGTTTCAATAAATAGGCCAGTTTCCATTCTAATTCAAACTTTCAGAATACTTGATAACTCCATTTTGCTCTTGCGACAGGCCATTCTGCAAATGTTCATTTAACAACAAAACTATTTTGCATGTCCCCACAACTCTATTCTCTTAAAAGTTATCACTTATGGCAGAAGAGATGAAATGGAATTCAGACAAGCAGATACTTTAGACAGGAACTATGGCATTTCCTGTCATTCTTACAGTTCTTTTTGCCAGACAGCTCAGTTTCTAATAATTTAAAATACAACATTTATACATCCTGCAAAGCCAGGATCACAGTGATTCTTGGTGCTTTTTTAAAAAGACTCTCAAACTGGAATATACAGGTTTATTTCAAGAACCAGCCAATTTTTGTGCTGATTTTATATATTTCAATGTAACAACTACATAATTATGTAGTTCACATCATTTGTACTGTCTCAGTAAAATTGATCTTCACTACTTTTCAGAGAGATTCCCATTGTTTTTTTCAATTTCATCATTAACAGTACAAACGAAACACATTTATTTTAACACAAAACAAGGTCAAAGACTACAAACTGCTTCATTTGGAAATCTAATGCCCCCTTAGAACCCTTTAAAACATGAGCTTACCATTACAGTGTGAAGTCAAAATGATTCTATCCATCAGGTGCTACTGTTTTTAAACTAATCTGAAATAAAAAAATATTGTATTTTTATCACTTTATGAAGTAATGCAAAACAGATACTATTTCACCATCAATTCATTTGATCTCAGGTGTTTAAGTTATGGTACCATCACATATCACTAAATATCAGCAATATAAAGCCTCAGTGTTTTCAGTTCTCAGAAAAGTTTCTGTCCACTACTCTTAAAACATCATTGGCTTTTCCAGCAAAATCAAACTAATTTTGGTTGATATGTTTTCTTTCAGAAGTCAGGGAACAAAGCAGGCAGCAAATGTGCTTATTACTGCCACCCCCACCCCCTAGCATTGTGTTTTTTGGGAGGAGCGGATTATGCAAAAATGAAAGCATCACATCTACTTTTAGTCAATTTTCATTCCACCTTTAATACTTTTGTCACGAAATCTGACAGGGTGAAATTCACAGGGAAGATTATTAGAGGTATAATAGAAGCATTCAGGCTGCAAGTCATCCACCCATAATTTTTTTTATCAACTTTCAAGACTGAATAATTAGATTAGAAAAATAATATACTGACCTTGTTTTCAAGAGATTCCATAAAACAGTAAGCATCTAACAGTTTTGGGGAAATGAAAAAACATTTATTATAAAACTGCAGAAAAAGACTCAGAAATATTCAGTTAATACCTTTCTAATTTTTGCGTCAATATTGGGTAAGGAAACCTATTTCCTGGTGGAAAATAACCAAAATATGCTGACTAGAATTCTACATTGCTATAGCTGTAGAATTAACACAAAATAATTCATTTGCAATCTTATGTTCATGAGGAAGGTACTTTTAAAAATACATTAGTAAATTAAAGTGAAAACTTGGGAAAACAATTAATTTCTCTGAATGCCTAATCATCGGACTGAACAATGTAACCTCAGTGAAAAGTGGAACGGTTTGATGCTAATATCATGAGTATTCATCTGGCAGAATCTAATCTCATCATTGGTTACAAGTTGATAAAAAGTTTTGAACCGTTAATACAGAATAAATGAAAACTAAACTCTTACCTCAATCTAGTAATTCCAGCCTCAAAACCTAGTTAATATATAAAAAAAATTGTCCACTTATATACGCAAACACAAAATATTAAAAGTTTAATATTACAAAACAAAGTAATTGCAGGTTTTTTTTCACCCACATCCCAATTTCAGTTCAGGTATTTCATAAGCTTTGCTAGTTTTATTCTAGGTTTAACAGATCAATTTCTAGGTCTTCAATAAAACTTTCTGACTGGGCTACATAGCCAAAGTCAGAAAAGTTAAAACAGTAACCAAAAAGAGCCAAGGATATTGTCATCCAAAGACCCCTGGAACATTCTTTTGACCAAGAGCATACTTTCCTGAAGCAAAAGTGGTTACAGAAGTAGCAAAATGGAATTTAGTGCAAAAACAATACTTAACTTTATTTTTCCCTGGGACTTCCCCGACCCCCCCCCCCCATGGGTCTTGAACCCATTGAAAAGTTACAGGTTGTTTGGGTAACGGGCCCTCTGTGTGCTCCTCATTCTTTTAGGGCTGGATTGGCACTTCTTCCTTGTTAGACTGGCACTGCTTGGCTCCCAGACCCCCCGTCCTCCCCCATTCCATTCTCCTCCCTCCCCCATTGCAAAAATGTCAGGAAGCAGAATGTAAAGTGATGCTAGCAGAACGGGGACCGTGACAGATATGCTGTTGGGAGGTTTTCAGAACTCTATGCAGAATAATCTTCTGAACTCATCTTTAGGATATCGAGTCGCGGGTATTTCTGCATTTATTAATATAGCATTATTAAATATTATATTATTTTTAAGAACATCCTGCTTGCAAAACACTATGCAATTTCTTGCAGTAAATCAACACGGTTAAGCTGATATCAGTAGTAGCTTACCGCTAGTCAGCAGTTTTGCTTTTAAACACCTCCTCATGTTACTCCAAGTCCTAAAGAGAAAGAAAGGTTGATGATAGCCAAGAAAATGATTTTTTAATCATGGGAAAACCAGGTAGGTGCCTGAAGTCAGGTAGAGCTAATCACAGACCTTCATCTTTAAAGTCAGTTGTATAAGCTTCTCATCATGCAGGCTGACAGCATTAAATACTTTAAAAATATCAAGTATACTTTAATTAACACATAATATCAATCTGCCACATACATGTATGCAAGAAATACTGTTCAAATTTTTCCCAGGAGACTTGGGAAATTCCTTATGGATTTCTAGCAATTTGCAATATTTAATTTGTCATAGAAAGACAGGATCAGAATGGAAAAATGCTTCAGTTACTTTATTATTATTATTCTCATCACAATGCATGTTAGTATCCATCATTTTTATGTTTACTAATAAAAGATTATAAAAACAGCAATTAAAATTAAAACCTATAGATGGTTAAGAATTTTATTAGAGCTAGTCCAAATGGCTTAGGCAGGATCTATCAAAGGAACGATTTCTCCCGTTACAAATCTTCATATGGCAGATGAAGCTCTTTGGAAGGCCTCTTTCTGACAGGTGGGAGAAGACATCCTCAATTGCTTTGGGACAATGGAATGTTTGGAAATTTGGAGAAAAATGGTTTCTCAGCCTTGAACTAAATACCAAATATATCTAAAAGTCCTAAAAAATCCTTAATAAATATCCTTAATGTTTTATAATATTGCTCAGTGAATCAACTTTCTGTATTTCAACTTGCCTTTTCTTGAGGTTCTTCAAAGACAGCTCGATCCCATTAAGACCTATAAAGAGAATTATTTTCTTAGCCACTAGCTTTATTTTTTTCCACAAAACATTTTTTCTTCCAAACCTTGCTGTGATCTACTGTATCAGTGTATATTCAATTTATCCTCATATATATCAGCGACCTGATTCAGCATCATATACAGTAGATTAATTTGTACTTTTAGCTCCCAATCCAATTGTTCTGAACATTAACTGTTGTAGATGAATGGACGTAATTAAAATGCTTGCATCAGCAAATTTGCTTTACATTTCTAAGCAACATGTGTTATAATTGCAGAACAGTAAAACAAATTAGCAAATAGAATCCAATACAACTTTTAAAAGGCAGAAGATGCCATATCCATAAATCACAGCAAGTCACAGAAAATGAACAGATCCCAAGCATGGAAGATCATTCTTCAACTTAGAACCAGGGCTCAATTTGTTTTTCCTTTTGTTTGCAAGATGAATGAATTCCAAACAAAAATGTAATAACTGCAGAAAAACCAGCTAAAACAAAGGGCACAAGTGGCCCCCATGTTGATAGCATTTTAGAGGCCCTTAAAGACATGTCACCCGGCTCTTTGACTAAGATGGGGTACAGCCTTATAAAAATGGGCATCTTTTGTTCCTTATATTTACTATTGTTTTCTTGTATTTATAAATCACCTAGAATCACTGGGAGTCTGGCAATGTGCAAATTTATTAAATAACGCTTAACAAAGACTAACAAAACTAGGATGCTTGCCAGTGTAACTATAGAAAAATGCAACTATGATCTTGTTATAAAGAACCACTATTAAATAAGAACTAATAAAGGACTGTGACAATACCCAAGAATCTTCCTGGTAACATCGAAACTGTTCATAAAGTACTGCCCGATAATGCACCCCCCCCTTAATATATCATATATTTTTCTTTACAACTTACATGTTTGATCATCTAAAGCTGTTCCATATTCGAGAACCCGAAGGCCAGCCCATCAATGGGTAGTATTCCCATATTTGCAAACACAGAATCTGTTAAGATATGTTCAGTTCAGTTGCTAGGACATACAACATGAACTTAATATTGTGGGAGGAACATATGGTTTAGTTTAAATTCAGATGGTTTAAGTGAATACAATGAAATGATACAATTTTCATGTTTATCAGCAGAAATTGAAGTGCTAATCATCTACCAAGTTACTGTTGAGGTCACAGGGTTTTTTAATGAACAATTATTTTAAGTAGGCCTATCTGTAATCGTAACAATCCATGGTCAGACCAGATTTAAATAGAGGATGCATCAGATAGGAGCGAAAGACAAAGAGTTCATCACAGATTATCTGCTGAACTATGTTTTCATCACACACATCCTTCCTTGAACAAAATAACCTAATAGACTATTTATATCTTACAACTTACCAATCCTTGTTCCATGATCCCAGAATCATTTGTGAAACCCTGTAAAGAAAACAGCAAAGGTTTTAATGTCTGTTTCAAATTACAAAAGGGATTTTAAGATACTTTTTAAGGGATTGTGCCTCAGTTTGAAACATTAAATAGAGGATGCATCAGATAGGAGCGAAAGACAAAGAGTTCATCACAGATTATCTGCTGAACTATGTTTTCATCACACACATCCTTCCTTGGACAAAATAACCTAATAGACTATTTATATCTTACAACTTACCAGTCCATGTTCCATGATCACAGAATCATTTGTGAAACCCTGCAAAAGAGGACAGCAAATGTTTTAATCTTTCAAATTACAAAAGGGATTCTTTTTAAGGGCATAGATTGTGCCTCAGTTTGAAACAAAGGTGGGTTAAGCGTTCTCATCATTATTTCCTCAAGAGTAGCAAATAAGCATCATCATTATGGCACAAAGGCACAACTAAAGGTACTGCTTTTATTTACTTAGCTTTCTGTATGTACTATAAGAACAAAAACATACCTTTATAGACAGCATTGGCTTGAGATTTTGTACCTACAAAGGAAACAGGCAATTTGTCAGATAAGAACTATTTTTAAAACAAAATACACCTAATAAGTGTTTAATATTTTGATTGGGAATATTTAGAAATCCAGACTCCCTTTTGACTAGCCTTAACTCTGATTATACTGCCAACAATGAGGACTCTTTACTTCCTCTTTTAGGAGGGACTAAGGACTGCTGTATAAAACTTTCTCTGCTTAGCTTACAACTTTCAAGCGAAAGCAGCAAATTCCTCTCCCTTTCAGTTAAATTGAAGGTAGAAGCAGGATGGATGCCTCAAATATTACTGCACTTGTTCCTTGCCACAGCATGATTTTTTTATTTGCACTATCAATGCAAATTACATCAGGACAAAAATGAGTCATCTCACTGTCACTTCCAAAAGACAAAAGATGAAGAAATGATTCAAAATTTGCAGTTGTATCAAGTATTTCACACTAATAGCGTTTCGATAAACAGGATTCTCAATATGCAGTTATTGGGCTAGACATAATAATTCAGAACTGTTATAGAGGTTGCTTTTGTTATGGATTATGAAATCTGTAATTGGAATACGAGTTTCCCTCATCTTATTTTTTTATCCATGCTTTCCCTCTGCCAACTGATCAACCTTTTGATCCTTTTTACGCAATCTGTCATACATTCTCATTACGGCAACAATTTCTAAAACAGTCACGTTATGCAAATTATTAGAATTAGATGACGACAACCATTAGGGAAAATTCCATCTGAATAAAGCTTAATCTAACTGGAAAAAAATCTTTCTCCTCCCTTTAATTTCTTAAGTAATGTTTAAATAAGGCTGGGATCAAATCATATTTATCAATGCTGCCAGCAGTTTAGCAGATGGAATCTAACCAGGCTCAAGGTTGACTCAGCCTTCCATTCTTCTCAGATGTGTAAAATGAGGAGCCAGATTGTTGGAGGCAAATGCTGACTCTGTAAACTGCTTAGAGGGCTGTAAAACACTATGGAGCAGTATATAACTTTAAGTGCTATTGCTAATATCTCACCAAAATTGTGCATTAGTGCAATCAGATGTGTTAGGCGTAATATACAGGGTTGAGGTTGGAGGATCTTATTTGTAGAATAATAGCTGGAGTCTTTCCCTTACTAAAAAACGTTTTACTGTTTTGGGGAACCAGAACATAAATTTTCAGGCAGTTAGAAATGAGTAATCCTCGCGACACCTAATTTAAAATCCTAATCCTGCTCAGAAATTGTTGGCATTCATCAGAGTCTCAGATGTCCCTACCAACGTAATTTATCATCATCTGCAGGTACGAAAAAAAAAAGGTTCAATCAGGGTGCATTATTCGGAAGGTCCCCAAGTTGTTTTGCAATGTAATCGAATCCATATTTTGCAGTAAATACCCGCAAGTCCTTTAATTTAAAGGAAAAAAAAACTTCAAAATAAGTTTATCAGAGATCTATCCTGGCATCAAACACTTCGAAACCATCCGAAGATCAACGCGAAGAGAGGCTGGAGTTCACCATATCTCAGTACATAATAGTTTTTTGAATTTTACCCTCCGGCCTACCCAGACTTGGACTTAAATCTTCGTAAATGTCAACGTCCATAAGGCAGTGACCGTTGCATGGTGAAGGCCTACCCAGGAAATACAACTTAACGCAAAAAGCTTGCACGCCGATTTGATAAGGATTATTAGCATTATTATTCCGTGCGGGATTCATTTTCAACACTTTCTGGAAGATCAGCTTTATGCTTTCCCCAACCACGAGGCCCACGTGGAAAGGCTGCTTCTTGCAGCGCCATCTATGCTCGGGGGGGGGGGGGGGGACGGAATGCGTGCTATAATCCAACGCCATCCGTGCCCCCCTCAAGGTCATCCACCATCAACCTTACATTTTAAAGGCCCAACTCCTCTATACAAATTAGCAACGCAACATTTATTGCGATAGGCAAGCGGGGTATTCACAATACTTACGCAGCAGCGAGGCCAAAGGCAGACTCCGAAAGAGAAAGCGCGGGCCGCAGCCACCCTTTTTATAGACGCCGGGAGGTCACGTGCACGCTCCCTTTGCATAGCTCCTCCTCCCGTCACGCCACTCCCTAGGAGAAAAAAAAATGATTCCTACGCACAACAGTCCCTCCACTTCCCCACCCCCCACCCCCGCTTCAGCGCCACAAGTACCCAGGCCGTCCGCCAGGCGCAGGTTCCACCCTCTCCGTGGTGGGCTCATTCCTGTGGGTGTGGCTACCTGACGCGCAGATTGTTTCAGTGGGGCTGGGGGGAAAGCAAGTCAATCAAGAAAGACGAAAGGAGGGGGGGATATGTACTTCCGGGGCGTTTCTCTTCTGGGGGGTTCGCTTCCGGAAGGGTGTTCGGGCTCGTCCCACCCCCCCCTTGGAGGTACGTAGGCGATGTATTTCGGTCCCCTCGGGAAAGGGAAAGGAGCTCGGGAGAGTTGTTCTCTCTCCTTCCTTCCCACCCTCGGGCGCACTCGAGGACAGTCGTTCCGGGGTGCCTCCCAAAAGGACGGTGTGGATTCTGCATGTCCCCCCCCCACCAAAAAAATTTTTTTCTAGCCTCACTTCTCCCCTTCTGTATCTTAGCAACGGAGTTTGCTCCTCCTAAAAGATATTTCTCTGTGCAAGGTTGCCTGCCCTCCTCATCCTTAATCTTCTGGACCTCCCCCCACCCCACCCCCCAAAAAAAATCCGCTGAAATCTGTCAATTTGCAGTCACTGTACTTTGCCTTTTTATTCCCCCATACATTCCTCCCTCAGTTTTGTTATTTTAATTAACTGTCCTCTTAAAGGTGCTTTTTTTGTTAGGAGCAAAGTGTTTTTGTTTCGTTGCAATTTGCTCAGGTTTTTGGAGTCTTTGGATCTAGGGGGTTCTATGGAGAGAAAGGTTTAGAAAGTTGGAAGGGAGGGTCTGGTAGTCTGCTCTTGCCTGCATGCCTCTTTGGAAATACTCCAAAATGAATCCAGCAGTTTACTCTCAAGGCATGTGTGCAAAGAGAGGTTGTAGAACTTCATTAAAATGTTGTATGGTGTGGAGAAATCATCTGCTTTCTTATGGGGAAAAACTGGGAAAAAAAGTTTATTTCTCTAATTGTTTGTAATGTTGGGAATTATTTTTTCCTGTTTAATTAACAGAGAGCCAACCAAAGTTCCAGATTAGCAGTAGGGTTAGAACAAGACAGAATAATAATTCTGCATGTGAATAAAATAAATCTATGCTTAACAATAGCTTAAATGGATTTGAAAGAAAAATGTTCATACAGAAACAACAATTTTAACAAATGTACAAATAATGTAAATGCTATTGAATAATGAAGCATCAGCCTTATTGCCTTCATGAAAATATTAGATCGAAGCTGGACTGCATGGAATTCTGTTGTTTCATTTGTGCTTTTTTTATTGTTGGGCATCTGAACATAGATCTGGTCTGGAATCCGGATATGGGAGCAGGTGTATATGAGGGAAAGGAAGATTTGATAAAAAGATTTAAAATTTCCTTTTTTAAAAATTGGAATTTTGAATTGTAATGTATTTAAACTATATTTCCTAAAAATTAGAAAACCCACATAATTAATATCCTTTATCACTTCATGGTAAAAAAAATTCTATTTTTTAAAGTCTATGGCTTCATAGATTATATACATAGACTAGAGCAGAGATGTCAAACTCACGTCATCACGTGACATATTGGGATTTCTCCCCCCCCCCTTTGCTAAACTGGGCATCCACGTGACCAGTGTGTGATGCATCTGGCCCAAGGGATGGGAGTTTGACAGCCGTGGAGGAGAGCAATATGGAAAAACTATTCTGTACATTTTAAGAAACTTTGCTCAGAAGAATCTATACGACATCTATGCTATTGCTACAGTGGATTCATGAGGTCTTTACGCATCTTGCTAATTTTAATTGCGTTTCTATAATTTGTCCATATCAGTCTGCATATAATTATTGCTGATATCTGTCTGGCTTTCAGATTGAGGTTTACTTGTTTTACTACTTTATTATTAGTAATTCTAGAAGTGTTCACTATTGTGTCCCTGCAATACCGTAGCAGACTAATGAAATAAAATGCAGCTAATGAATGTTTCTTTTTGTAATACAATAGAAATAAAGAATTCTAAAGCATTTATCAGGCTCTGCTAATTCTGTGTAAGTCTAAAAGTCCATGTTCAAAGCTCATAAAATTATTTTCAAATTACGGAATATTTTACCATAATTTTTAACCTTACAGTAAGGGAACATAATTAAAAGTGAATTCTGAGTATCCTGTGTCACTCCAATAAGAGATTTGAGTTTAGAACTGAATACCAATCCAAGATTAATGTTGCCATACACTAAATAAATAAACAAGATTAATGGTACTGCAATCTTTTTTTTCTTTCATAAAAAAATGGAAAATAACTATTGAAAAAAATAGAAGCAGATGGAGAATACTTAATAAAAAGAAGGGTGTAAAAGAAGGATGATGTTTTCTATCCCCTTTTTCACCCATTGAGCATATCAAAACCCCTCTTGCCACGGGTGAAAGTAGAATTCCAACTCTGTTTGTTCATTGCAGAATAAATATTAGAAGGACAGGCTGCATACATTAATTAAATAAGAGTGAATCTAAGGAATAGATTTCTTGTCTGAAAAATATGACATAGATATAGATCAGGGGTGTCAAACTCACGTCATGGTAGTGTCACATGATATATCGGGACTTCCCCCCCTTCGCTAAACTGAGTGGGGGCGGGGCCAGCACGTGATACATCTATCCTACAGGCCACAAGTTTGACACTCCTGATATAGATGAACTGATCATCCTTATAATACACAAAATAAATAAGGTACAATATGCTGCTTTTTATGTTGACGTTGACAACTAACCCATAAATTTGCAAGATTTATTCTTGTATTTATTGCTACATTCATAATGTTTTGTCAGCATAAGCTGTTTTCATATCCATATATACTTGCAGTATTTTTAAAGAAAACCATTTTGATGTCTTCTGATTTTTTCCCCCCTGAATTTGTATAACTACCAGGAATATCATTATCTGGCTAGAAACTAAATAATTTATTCGCATGTGGAAGATACAGTTTTTATTGGTAATGTTATTACGTGACTTTGAAAAACATATCGAGTATATGCACACATTCTGTATACCATTCTTGCATGAATTATCACTGACTAATATATAAGCTGACTACAGAGTTTACTGCAAAGGAATTTTTACTGTTCGGCAATATAAAATAAATATAGTTTTATTTTCAATGAATTTTTATTTATTAGTATCAATTCTATGTGTATTAGTGAGTGAAAGGTATGTTACCATGATTGGTCACAATGAAATAATGATAAGTGAGAATTAGTAGTCTGCTATATCCTTGCATAGATGCCTCACAACACTGCATAGGTTGGAGAGGCCCCTGTATCAACATTATAAACCAAATTGTTTACATTTGCCCTAAATCTTTGATGGAATTTCCATTTAATTTGAGTTTTTGATTATCGAGAAGGATGGCAGACGTCAGATTAAAATCCCAGTTCAGTTCATGAAATAAGTAACATTATCTTATAATGCAACATTACCTGTCTCCTTTATTGGTAACATTGTTAATTAGCTAGCTTAATTGCACTTGAAATGTTGAGCAATGGGCAATATTGTGAAGAGAAACAGAAAAAAAAGAGCATTTACTGTTCAATTGTCAACATTCTGCGTTTTTTCCTACATAGCTGTTTAACAAGGAAATAATAGTTTATGTGTCATATTCACACAAATCACATGCAAATTGATATGAAAAAATGTTTTTTTTAAAAAAAATGTCATTCATTACAAAACATGTAGAAATGGAGAAGCTCTTTCTAATTCAGCGGTGTATTTTTCCATCATTAGGGTTGCTCCTCCTGCAACTGGAGCCGTCATGGAGAAAAGTGGGAATATTCAGTTGGAGATTCCTGATTTCAGCAATTCTGTTTTGAGCCATCTTAACCAGCTCCGCATGCAGGGCCGGCTGTGTGACATTGTGGTTAACGTGCAAGGCCAAGCCTTTAGGGCGCACAAGGTAGTGCTGGCTGCTAGCTCGCCTTATTTTCGAGATCATATGTCACTCAACGAAATGAGCACAGTCTCCATCTCTGTTATCAAGAACCCCACTGTGTTTGAGCAGCTCCTTTCTTTTTGCTACACGGGGAGAATATGCCTCCAGCTTGCTGATATAATAAGTTACCTGACAGCAGCTAGTTTTCTACAAATGCAACATATTATAGACAAATGTACACAAATCCTGGAGGGAATTCATTTCAAAATTAATGTGGCTGAAGTGGAAATGGAATTGAGCCAAACAAGAACAAAGCATCAAGAAAGGCCCCCGGAATCTCATCGAGCTTCCCCGTCTCTAAATCGTTCTCTGAGTCCTCATCATAGCACTCCAAAAGGCAGCCGTATGGGCCAAGTTAGCACCGTTCTGGACATTCGGGAACTGAGTCCTCCTGAGGAGTCTACAAGCCCTCAAATAATTGAGCAGAGCTCAGATGTGGAAAGCCGGGAACCCATACTGAGGATTAATAGGGCAGGCCAATGGTATGTAGAGACAGGAGTCCCAGACCATGGTGGGCAGGGGGATGATGATGTTAAAGTCCTTGGAACAGTGCGAATCAAAACAGAAAACTTGGAGGAGTGGCTGGGGACAGAGAATCAGCCATCTGGAGAAGATGGGAGCAGTGCTGAGGAGGTCACTGCCATGGTGATTGACACAACAGGACATGGATCAGTGGGACAGGAAAGTTACAGTTTGGGTTCATCAGGAACAAAAGTGGCCAGGCCAACCAGCACTGAAACGGACAGGTAAGATTTAACGTTACTATTGCTTCTTAATACTAATACTGTGTCTATGTCTACATTTGCTATGTCAAAGGTACTGTAAAAACATTAGAATACTTTTTTGGATTAGAATCCAAAAAAGAGAACCAGGTCATCCCCTGAAGAGGAGAATATGTAAACACAACAATGGATAGAGGGGATGGAGGGAGGAGTAGAAGGAAAGGTAGGAAGGAGAGGAGAAAGGAGAGGAATAGGAGAAAGGGAAAGGCAGAGGAAGAATGGGAGGGAATGTAAGAGTAGGAAAGAGGAGGAATGGGAAGAAGAGGGGAAGGGTAAAGGGGAGGAAGGGGGAGGAGAGAAGGGAAAGGAGAGGAGGAAGGAAGGAAGGAGAGAAGAAAGAGAAGAAAGGGGGTAGGAAGGAGGGAGGGAAGGAAGGAGGGAAGGAAGGAGAGGAGAGAAGGAAGGAGGGAATGTAGTTGAGAAGGAAGGGGGGAAGGAAGGAGAGAAGGAAGGGGGAAAGTAAGGAGAGAAGGAGAGAAGAAAGGGAAGGAAGGAAGGAGAGAAGGAGGGAAGGGGGAAGGAGGGAGGGAAGGAAGGAGGGAAGGAAGGAGAGTAGGAGAGAAGAAACGAGGGAAGGAAAGAGGGAGGGAGGGAAGAAGAAGTAGGACCGTTGTAAGATAAGATGGATCTATCTATGGGATGGTAAGAAAGCAATTTTCAAGTATATTGTCAACTGTAGGGAAAAAATTGTTATAAATACATATTATTAATAACAGTTATGAGATCATATAATTGTGAATGTATATATGAAATTGATAAAATTAAAAATTAAAAAAAACATTAGAATACTTCAGACTTAATTCCCGCCGTTCATAATCTAAAAACATCAGTGGAACGAAGCATATTAAAAAAAGCTAATTGGATGTTGTCTGTAACTTCAGCAGGTGAAGAAGTGGTGAACTGGACAAAGAGCCAATTAAGAGTATAATAGTGAGAGTTCAACTTCTAAAAAGAAAATGTATAGAGCTTTTTAAGTAGGACTTAATTTGCCTCTGGCCAAACATTATTTAAAGTATTCTCTGGATATTGAAATAAATGAGATATGATGGTTAGTTGGCGTTTACCAGAGACAATGAATAGTGAATTTTGAAAAAAAATGTGAGAAGTCCTAATATTCAGTGAAAAATCATGTGAATATATTTATATTTATAATCTTTTAAAAACTAGAATTTTAGTAATAGCCAAAAATAGCAAGATACTTTTGTAAGAATTTTTCTCTATTTAAAAACAGAGAATTGCATGTTTTCAAGTCTTCATGAGGAAAATTTCAAGCCTCTTACTTGGTCTGACTAAATTGTAACCTTTTCTTTTAGTTGATTCCTCAAACATCAGTGATTTTTTCTGCTTTGATTGAATGAGTTTATTTTTTTCTCAGCATTCTAAGTATAGGAAACTCTGGAGCAATGGCTATAATTTATTTGCCAGTTCAGATATTTATTTATCTATTATATTTCAGCCAATAATTACTACAAACCATGATTTGGAAAACTAAACTTGATTTACTAAAACATAATTTTATAATCACCTTAGTGATTAAGGATAGTTTAATCTGAATTAAGCCATTTTGTTTGGAGAAAGTTCTTTCTTAACTCTAATAGGTAATATTGAAGAAATACCCTTGCCTGATCTTGTGTAGGAGGTGACGTCTGTGGCTTGATTATCAGATATAATCTGCTTTTGTTACATTTTGATATGCTAACTTTTTGTTTAACATTTTATGCAACAGCTTTTGGAAGTTAGAGTGCACCAGTACATTTAGTAGTCTATAAAAAATTTTTTAAAAATAGTACTTCATATGCTGAAAATGTACAAATAATCTCATGCTTCTATTTTGACAAATTTGTTTCAGGCAAAGCCATCTTTTCTTATGTTAACTTATTTCCTGAGTTGAGAAATTAAATTGGTTCATAAAACTTCAAGCTACCATTTATAGTTTTAGGGTTTTCTTGATTTATTTCTGTTTACTTTCTATTTTATCTAACCCCTGTTCTCCCTGTTATCAGTGATGAAGCAGAATCTCCATTGTTTCTTACTTTTTTTTTAGAGAATTTGTATATTACACAAAATAGCTCTTAATCTCATTTTGCAGATTTAGCCCTTCGGGTAGTGTGGTTACTGTGAATGATCGGTACAGATCAAAAAGTGAATCTCCATGGCGGATGGATGAACCTAAGCAGCCCAGTTCGCAGGTAGGTATCTCTTGGTGAGCTCTGTGATGATAATCATGATGCTGATGTTTTATAAGAGTAGCTATAGAGAAGCACTTTGCAGTTGGTGTATTTGTTTATGTGTTATTGGGGTGTGTATGTGTGTGTGAGATGAAGAGAGAGAGAGATAATATTAAGGTGATGTGCTAAGAATGGAAAGATTCAGGTTCTGGTCCAGTGGTGGGATTCAACATTTTTTACTACTGTGGACAACACTTGGTGAGCGTGAGTTGGTGGACATGACAGAGGAAGGATACTATAAAATCTCAATTTCCTCCCAATCAGCTGGGACTCGGGCGGCAGAGAATAGATGGGGGCGGGGCCAGCCAGAGGTGGTATTTACCGGTTCTCCAAACTACTCCAAAGTTCCACTACTGGTTCTCCAGAACTGGTCAGAACTTGCTGAATACCACTTCTGTTTTAGTCTTTCCTTACATATGGAAGCCCAATTGAGTGATTTTGGTCAGTTATTTTTTCAGTCCTAGACTGGGGAGACAAAAGTCACTATCTACTAACCTGTAGATTAGTGCAGTGTTTTTCAACCTTTTTTGTGCAAAGGCACACTTTTTTCATGAAAAAAATCACGAGGCACACCACCATTAGAAAATGTTAAAAATTTTTAACTCTGTGCCTATATTGACTATATATAAAGTGTTTTTCCCACGGCACACCTTACACTATGTCACGGCACACTAGTGTGCCATGGCACAGTGGTTGAAAAACACTGGATTAGTGCAATGTGTGCATAATCCACAAAAAGAGACACTCTGCTACTGTGTTATATGGCGGGTTAGTAGTGAATTAGACATACTCTATTATTAATTATAATAGGGTATGAGTACTTCAGAAAATAGGTCAAAGGAATTTTGGGAAGGAATGTGAAGAAATTGATTTTTATATGTATCTAAACACTATTAATCAGTGAACCAATAAGCAGACTTCTACTAATGTATCTGGAAGCAATATACCCTCTTCATATTTCAGACGCAGTGGCTCAGTGGCTAAAACGCTGAGCTTGTTGATCAGAAAGGTCGGACAGTTCAGGGATTCGAATCCCTAGTGCCGCGTAATGGAGTGAGCTCCTGTTACTTGTCCCAGCTTCTGCAAACCTAGCAATTTGAAAGCATGTAAAAATGCAAGTAGAAAAATAGGAACCACCTTTGGTGGGAAGGTAACAGCATTCCATGTGCCTTCAGCTCTTAGTCATGCCTGCCACATGACCATGGAGATGTCTTTGGACAGTGCTGGCTCTTCGGCTTTGAAATGGAGATTAGCACCGTCCCCTAGATTCGGGAACAACTAGCACATATGTGCTAGGGGAACCTTTACCTATGTTTTAGAATTTTATCTTGTTTCCTAACTCTCTGCTCAGGATGCACATAGAAACATGTTAAAAGCAAAACTATAACATATGTGTTGCACATTTTAGAAATTTAACCTTAATCATCCCACCATCATAAGAAAACCCTCTACATTTGAATACAGAAAATGCTTTTATTTCATCTTAGGGATTTGGATGATAAGCACAAGACAGTTTAGTGAAACAGGGCAGTCCCACATTATTGTGAATCAAACTAAACATTTTTAATTTTGTCCACCTGATGAACATGCAAGGCTCTTATAGACTTTAAAGTACTTCTTCTGTGCTAAAAAAATTGCTCAGGTTGTTTAATTAGCTTAAGTGGAATACTTCAAGCACTATCCCACACAAAGCACAGTTAAAATGTAAAAAAAATCTGGTATATGTATTTTTAAACTACATGTAGAGTATTAAAAATTAAAACTTTCTATAGTACATTAACATTCATGCCAATCAAGCCATTTAGTTCTACAGTATATCTTGTTTTTTGCAGTGATCACCATATGATTCCAGGAAGTTTCAGGCAAGGAATAAGCATAGCAGTCTTTGTTGTTTTGCCTTAGTCTTTAATACTCTGAGAAATAATGCTTCTAAATCTGGATTTTGCTGATCAACCATTAATATGCCTAAGCCTTCTTGTTAATGTCCATGATCATATTTAGCCAACCTTATTTTTCTTCATAATGTTTCTGTTCTAGGCGGAGGAGTCAGCTATTGTTGGAGTAAGCGGCTATGTGGAATATCTCCGTGAACAGGAAGTATCTGAACGGTGGTTTCGTTACAACCCACGTCTGACTTGCATCTACTGTGCCAAATCCTTCAACCAGAAGGGTAGTCTGGACCGGCACATGCGGCTTCATATGGGCATCACGCCTTTTGTTTGCCGGATGTGTGGCAAAAAGTATACCCGCAAGGATCAGTTGGAGTATCACATCCGGAAACATACAGGCAACAAGCCCTTTCACTGCCATGTCTGTGGCAAGAGCTTCCCCTTCCAGGCTATCCTCAACCAGCACTTTCGTAAGAACCACCCCGGCTGTATGCCACTGGAGGGATCGCACAGCATCTCTCCAGAGACCACGGTCACCTCCAGAGGCCAAGCTGAGGAAGAGTCCCCTCTTCGGGAAGAAGCTGGTCTGGCTGGGGAAAGTGCACAGGGATCTGTATCGACTACTGGGCCAGATTGAGACCAGAGGCCCAGTGGATCTTCTGTAGGATAAGCAAGCCCCACTGGGATGGTGAGCTCCTGTAGTTGGTTGTGCAATGTTACCACTGGACGAAGACACTCCCGAGAGAGAGGTTGCCAAAACAGAAAAGATACAGTACTGTAACTAAAGTGCTTATGGTTTCCTTTATTTTTCTCCATCTCCTTGGAAAGGAAAAAAACTGGGTCAACTAACCTCTGATTCAGGGATTAACAACTTCGGAGGGGTGGGCTTTTTTTTTTTAAGTATTCAGTAGTGAACAAGGAGAAATAGATTTTTCTCATTTCTGGGCAACAGATCCTGTGGTCCTAAGGGCTGCAGAGTTCTAGCTATGTGTATGCAGAGCATCAGCATCTGTATCAAAATCATTATACCTCCATAAGATACACGGGGTCAGGAATTGGGTTTTTTTGTTCTGTGCCCCACTCTTATTTCCCAGGTAATTCTTTTTCGAGAACAATGGCTGTTGTACTATAACCAACCATGCCTAAGTGTAGTTTATCTCATTTTCATTTGATGTATCTTTTTAAAAAAATTGACCCATTACCTAAGGGCTTTTATTAAGGGGAGGGGGCTTGCCATTTCAACATGTGTGGCCTTGCCTGTTTGTTATAAGGCTAGCAATTTTTTGAGCAGTATTTTAAAGATTACACAATATTTAAGTAATTAAGCTACTGAAAAAGAAGGCAGTAACTACAGTATGAGGTTCTGCCGTGTTTGAATGAATATTTTCAGTTGTGAAATATGGGTAGTGCAGACCACGTCACAATTCTTGCTTATTCTGTGTGCTGCAAAAAACTGAAAAGTAGATTTCTAGTTATGAATTTTTAAAACAGTGGCTTTTTCCAAAGGTCATCCTTTGCCTCCCATGGACTTGATCTAATGAAACAGCAATATTTGTATATCAAAATAGATGGATCTCGGTGGGAGAAGAAATCCTGGTTTGTGTTTGTTTCCCTGTTTGATATTTTTATATGAAAAACATGCAAAAAACATACTCTTACAATTCAGTAGGGTAAAAGCTCCCATTTCCTGTAAGCAATGAAAACTTTTCCTTTACACTTCTATAATATTTCACATATGAAGTTGAGGAGATATCTCTTTCTCTCTCTGCCAAATCCAGCAAATATGCACCTCATGTTTCTTAATATTCTGTTTATAATTAAAAGGATACATGTGCAGGAGAGCAAATATTTCAAATAAGTGTCTTATATTTGCAAAAGAAGTTCTGTGTCGGTATTTAGTAGCAATGCTGTAGAATAAAGGTGAAGAGTTGGCATAATCCTAATATTATAGATTATATGGAGTTAAAATGGCCGAAGCAAAACTTATAGGAGAAAGCTTGAGATATGGTGGAGCCACGAAATGAATAGAGATAGGAATTATAATATTATGGTAAAGGAAGAAACAGCTTCTTGGTGAACTTGCTTAGATTTGTATAATATTAATATTTCGCCGATCTTGCCTTCTTATGCCACACATTTCTTGCTTCTAAAAATGAAATTCTTGATTATGCTCACAGGAAGAATGAAAATTGTTCGATGCTCTCCCCTTTCCTCCCTATGTGTGCATTTCTTTTTTTTTATGTTAACTGAGGAATTTGTTCCATTCCCCAATTCATGATAAAGCAAGCAGTGATTTTTTTCTTTGTGATCACAAAGATACAGATTCAAAAGTCATTGAAAAGATTAACTCATACTTGTTTTAAGAGTTTGACGAGATTCTTCCAAAGCCACCCACACACTATTCTTCTAGATGAAGTAGGGAGGATAATAGATGTAAATATATCTATCTATATGCTGCTTTAATCATAACTTTCAAATCTACCAAAAAGAGACAATTTACATTAAAAAGAATTGGAAAATATTTCTAGTTAGTTTATAACAAAGTTTTTAAAGCATTTAAGAATAGAATTTTAAAAATGTTACCAAACTTGTAAGGCATACATTTATTTATCTACAAGTATGATATAAATATATATATATAAATATATATAAATATATAATTATAATGGGAATATTTCTTTGCTGAATTGATGACGGTGTAGCATTTCTATATAAGAATTTCCTCCAAAGCAGAATGCAGCAAAAATCCATACATATTAAAGAGAGCGAAGAGTTGTAATGGATTGTTGAATGTGGCATTTACAGAGCTGTGAGTTCCTTTTGGACTTGATACTGTGAACAGAGGAGTGATTAAGTAATCCAGGATTATATCATCAGTCACTTACCTGCTTGCTGGTAAAACTCCTCTTTATTTAGCCTGGCCAGAATCATTGAGAATTTCTTGCCTCTTGGCCCAGGCTTCATTTTAAAAGAAAAACAAAGCTTGTGAAATGTGCTTTTAGTTGCAGCCATTGAAAGATGTCATTTTTACTTGCATGCAAATGAGCCAATATTCTTGCCTGTTCTTCTTTTGAACTGGGTTTATGGTTATCCGGTCAGCTTATTCATACAGAAGGCTACATTATGAGAAAAAGCCCGTAAGAGGCGTGTGCCAGCAATCTTCCCAGTCCTTTCTTTCAATATGCCCGGAGGAGTTGGGAAACTTTTATTTCCTTTTTATAAGCAACACAGTTGATTTTGAAAGCTGGACCCAGAAAAATGTGAACCTTGGGTATGATGCATTCTTTGAAGCAGACAAATTCAAATCACAACTTGTGAAGGTTGATTTATTTCAACAAACCATAATTACAGTTAACTATGGGTTTATGTTCAGATAATATTACCTCATCATGGTGTCCAATGAGACCATGATTCAATTTGTGTGTGTGTGTGTGTGTGTGTGTGAGGGTGCATGTGTGTGTACATGCAGAAAATGACCTTGATCTGTGGCTTCACAAAATATAAGAGCTCCCAAAATATCCTGAGCTCTGTGGCTTTATTCAGAGAGTACATTTGTAGTGTAATCAAGAAATCCTCATAAATGTGTATTACTGGAGAAGCTAGAAAGAAGGGTGGGTTTTCTTGTGTTCTTAAAGAGCCTGAAACTCTTTAAAGAGTTAAGATGCCTTGAAGGAATACATGCAGGTTGTTATGATTCATACTATCCAAATCGTGCCAAATATTAAGGCATTGCATCTATTGACAACTGTTCTGCCCTGCCAGGTGGCAGAATATAATTGCTAGGGGTCACTTAGGAAAGAATCTTAACTTCGTTTGACCATTTATGTGGAAACCCCTGGTGTTGATGCGGCTGGAGCCGAAAGAAAACTGTTGAACTGTTTGATTGTGTCTTGAGATCTTATTGTTTCCTCAGATTCTACCTTGAGTGTTCTTTTTTTAGTTATTCTAAACAAATGTGCTATTTATACAAATAAGTTATGAACCGATAGCGCATAAACCCGCAAAGCCTGTTTCAATACTTAAACTTGTTGCAGACTATTATGCTTGGTGTTACAAAATGGAAAGTATTCATTTTCAAAAAATGCTAGTAGTGTTTGAACGAAATTGGCAAATAAAGTGTTTGCATTAGATAGAATTGAAGCAAACCTGTGGGAAGGCTTCCTGTTTTTTTGTTCTGCAATGAAACATTTACTTGTGCTGGAATTTTTGTATTCAGTGCTTTAACCTTAGAGGCAAGTTTGGAAATGAGCTTTAAGACATCATTGTTGGAGACGTTAGGATATATTGCCATCCAAGCTCAAAGGATTATTATCTAGATTCCGTAGTGTAGATGTGTTGGTGACCTATTTTTTTTATTCAGTGCATCTGGACATTTTTCATCTGTGCTAAATTGATTCCTAATGTGACTCAAAAGGGAAGGGAAGTAAAATTATTTAATATTATACCTCATTACCTCTGTCTGTAGTGAGTAATTTATCTCATTTTTTTAATGAGACTTGGTAGGTTGAACTTACCTTTTACCTCTTGTCTTTCAAAGAACGACAGAGTATTAGAAGGAAAGGATCAATTTCATTGCCCTGCACTTGCAGAATGAATCTTCAATGTGAAATTTTGCCATTATCTTCCTGTGTCTGCTGCTATGCATTAATCTTATCAAAAGCAATAGAGTAAAATTAATATAATTCTTAACACACATCATTGCACTGCATGTCTGAATGGCCTGATTTCCTTTAAAATAGCTAGTGTAAACAAACATAGAGCAAAAAAAGAGGAAAAAGAATCTAAACAATTGCATTGCTTTTCTCCTTGAGCATAAGAGATGCTTTTTCCAAATATTGGTGAGACTCCAACTTATGTTCAGAGATCCACATGAACTCAGGATACAACTTTGTCATGTCATGTCATGTCTGAAAAGGTTGATCGGTAAGCCTGTATTTTTTTTAAGAATACAGAATTTTTCGTCAGAAGAGAGCTTAATCTCTGAATTTGAAAACATTTCTTGCCAATAATTTTAGATTTTATGAGTTTTACTTCTGATGTATTCAATTTCTAATGTTCAGTTTTTCTAAACTGAAGTGAGTTTTACATTTCATAAGCTTTACTTGTTCTTTAATTTTATTTTTTTTAAAAAACCTTCTCCATGATTTGACACAGAATTGCTCTAGAAAATCCTCTTTTGATGCTTAATGGTGCAGTTTTAAAAATATATATTACAATGAGCCTGAAAAGTGGAATTTGGAAATATGATTGTAATTGGAAAAGAGATAAAGGTGTCTTTTTATTGCTGTAAGCAAACTCTTATTAGTAAAAGATTCATCTACTTATTAATATAAGATCTGAAAATATATCAGAATTATATATATTAGCAGAAAATATCTGAAATAAATTGAATACAAATGAATTAAATTCTAATCTTATTGGAAATTGCTAGTTATGCCACATTTTTTGAATGAATCTTATAAATTATTTTCTGGAGTTTTGCAGTATTGAACTATTAAAGGATCCGATGCTTTATATTGAACTATAGTTGATCTCTTTTGGAGGAGACTCAGGATTCAGACCTAAAGGATTCTGTTCTGGTTGAAAGGATGAGATCTTGCGTAGTTTTGCCAGTAGGTTATATGCAGATTAGGTAAATCTATTATCTAAGATAAAAAGATTAGATTATTTGTCAATCACTTGCAAATTTATTGGCTTTTGAGAGGGGGAGTTAAAATTAAATATAGCATTTTTAAAAATTTCTTAGTAGACAATAAACTATCTCTACCATTCTGATTGTGACTTCTGTGCTCCAGAATTTTGAAGGGTATATTTTCTTTGATATACGTAAATATTTTGAATGTTTATACTTCTGTTTCCTTGGGCAATGGATTTTGTTTTTGTAGGGAGCAAGTTCACCAAAGATGACCGAGGATACTTAGTTAGAGGTGGACATATGTGTCTGGAAGCCAAGTTTGGAATTGCAAATTGAGTACTGAAGATCAACTTTTGTAGGTATATAAATTGAACCATTGTTGGATCAGGCCAAAAGTTTTGAGAATTCAGCATGTTGTTTCTTGCAATAGCAGGCTGATGTTTTGGGGAATGTCCTTTTTAACACTTCCAATGTGAAGGTGTGCTGCCTTTATATATGCAGGGTCATGTTTCATTGAGACGTATTGGCAAATTGGTTCTGTATTGGCAGTTATATTCCTTTTAATTTGCCTAATCCTTTTAAATAAATCTGTTAATGTCTGCCTCTGCATCTTGTGATCTAGAATTCTATATGTCAATTATAGGAAATAAAACAGATTGCTGGGTTAGATTTAGAACCTTGTAGAATGTCACAACCAGGGAACAAAAATATGCTCAATATTCTAAGATTATGCGTCATGTTATATTCTGTAGGCATGTCCGTATGGAAAACCTGTTTGTTTATGCCATTACTTGCCATTTAAGTCATGTTTTCCCCATACAGGCAGTCTCATATAATTAGTGATCATTCAAAGTCACAATGACATTGATTGATTGATGGCTATGACCAGTCCTCAGAGTTCCTCCCATTCCAACACCCTCCCCAGTCATGTGATCCTGATCTGGGCACTTGGCAGCTGGCTTACACTTACGATTGGCTGTAGTGCTCCACAATCACATGATCACCATTTGCTATCTTCCCTGCTGGTTTCCCCAGAAAATCAATGGGAAAGCTGGCAGGGAAAATCGCAAGTCATTGCCCACTCATGCACCCTTCCACACCCTTCCTCTGGGCTTGCGGCATGCTAGTCAAATCCCACCCTCCCCAATTCTTGCATACTTTCACTGAACCTCACCACATTTCACATCACTCCTGTGTACCCTTGCGCTTCCTCCCAAGCTTCACCGCACAACGCACATCCCTCATGCCCTCTCCCATCTGGCAAGCAGCCACTTATTTACCTGCTGACTTCCTTGAGAGCCATCTGGGGCTTGTAACTTCCTGTCAGTTTTCCCACTGACTTGATCGTGGGAAGCCAGCAGGAAGCTTCCTTCCCTAAGGACTGTGAGATTTGATTTACAATGGCAACTAGAACTTCAGGGATTATTGTCACTAAGGGATGTGATGGGTATTTTATGACCTTGTGTCTTAGTGACAGAAATTCCAAACCTGATTGGATGTCATAAATCAAGGGCTACCTGTATATATTTACCCAAATTGTTAGTAAGCAACGGGAGTTGTAAGGAGCAATACAAAAACATCCCTGAATTAAATGACAAGACAATTCATTAACATTTTACTTTGCTTGAAGTCTGAATTTTCAGTTAATTTTGTCAAGCAAGATACATTCCAGCATAAAGCACTAAGACAATTCTCATGATTGAGATTCATTTTGTGGAGAAGAACTGAAGGAGATGGACATTACATGCACAGGGAAAATAGGGTGTGCTATCAGAATTTGCCCCTGCTTGTCCTGGGGAAGCCAGCAGAGCCATATTACCCAGACAAAGGAGAAATCAAAGCCGTATTTTGCGTGACAAGTTTGATCAGTTTTTTTTTAAAGGCCATCTAGATTCTTGTAGTCCAATTCTGGTATAC